AGAGAGGAGAGAGAGAGAGAGAGAGAGAGAGAGAGATGCTTACCTGAGCGACGATCTAATGTTAACAGTGATATCTACTGTCCAGTGATAAACTTTATCAATATAAGGGTCGGGTCGCATCATATTCTTCTCGTCCCTTCGTTTGATAGCAGACGTAAGTCGACCCAAATTATAGAAAGGACTCAAACAGTTGGTGCGTCCGTCGCCCTGCCATATGTTCTTCACTCGACCCACTCTTTTCCACATACTCTCTGTATTTGTGATAAATGATCGCAAATTAAAAAACTATTTAAAATCAGACTTAAGTTATGCGAGAAATATGAATACCGATGACAAACAAGGGATCGTTGAGTCCGACATCCCATCCAATGACTTTGTTTAAATGATTTAATTTTCTAATTTCTAACTCATTCTCAAAGCCTAATATGAAATCATAATCAAAGACATGTCCGACAGAAAGCAATAATTTGACTTTCGATGAGCCGAGAGTATCATTGAATAGATTGTCGACTATGAGGGCAGCGAGTTCTTGACCGGACACTGCTTTAGCACTCGGAGGCAATTGAGATATCTTTAGATCGAGGAAAAGAAGGGCAAAATTCTTTCGATATCTCGCGTTACCTAAAAATTCATTTTTATAAATTCTAATATTATTTTCATATCAATTATAAATAATAAGGAAATTACAAGAAAAAAATAATTGTAATTTTATATATGTTTGGTATTTATATAACGAAAGGCGAACTCAATTATGCAATAAATTTCTAATATTTTGATCCGACAATAGATTTGATTAATGAATGATTGAAGTGAATGTCAGAATGTATTGATAGAGTTTTGCCATTAAATTAGAGTTTCAGTGTTTCGATGGGTTGTTGTGTATAATAATAAGGATGTATTAAAGTTACACTATTATTGAAAATACAATTTATTGATTGACTAACGATTTAGAAAAATAAATACCAGTTATTAATGAAACACTTTAAGCGTAAAATTCAGATTTTTGTGAAATAAATTACTAAATAAGTATAGGTTAAGCAAATTAATTGATTATAATTATAGGATATAAAAACTCTCAAACATAACATACCGGGAGTTGTAATGTCTCGGATGTATCCTAAAAATCGGGGTAAATCTTCCCTTTCAGTGCAGTGTCTGAAGCAATCGCATGGATATCCATGATATGTGAAGACAGCGGATCCGTTGTTTATAAACGTAACGTCCGATTCAATGGCATTAGCGCCCAGTGAGACGTAATGATCCACTTCTCGGATTGAATTGACCATATGTGCGATATTGTAGAAAGGTCGTTTATCATAATAAGCACTTGTTTGCCTTATATTGCATTTCACAAATAATATCAATACATAGATTTGAAATATTTGCCACATTCTCGTTCAGATCACCCGATCCTATATGCTATACATTGAATCTAAAATAGAAATAAAGTTTAAATTAATATTATAATAATCCGTTGAATATTAAATTATATTGATACTTATAAATTGATTACTAAATTAATCATTAATTAAAATTGTTTTTAATTTAAAATTAATGAGAGACTTTAACATGGTTAAAGCATGTTTTATTCACAAAATTGCATTTTTGTCAAATATTTAATCGATTGACATATTAGATAACTTTCATGGTAAAAGACCCCGAGCAATATTTGAGCTAAAAGCCAAAATTAGTGTCTTTACATCAAATAAAATGAAAATAATTCATTTTCAATTGAAACTCATTTTATAACTTATAATGTGTTGAGTTATTTGTCAAAAGTTTTAACATTTAACAAAATAATAACAATTCATAAAAATGACAATTAAAGAATAGGAGAGAGAGAGAGAGAGAGAGAGAGAGAG